TGCCGCTGCTGCTGGGCGACGGGCAGCAGCAGCAGCAGCAGCCGCCCTTAGAGCCTCTAACGCGGTCATGTGCATAGGAAGCACATCCGCATGGTGCTGTGGAAGCAGCAAAAGCGAAGAGCGCAGTGAGGTAGCGCAGCTCCGCTCCCCAGATGTTATTACCACTTCCGGCTGCTGCTGCTGCTGCTGCTGCTGCAGCTCCTGCTGCTCCTCTCGCACCTGGCCCGCCAGCGCCTTGAGGAGAGTTGACTTGCCGCTGCCGTTGGGACCCACAATGGCTATTTTCGAGCCCCTCCGGACCACTATGGTCACGTCTCGCAGGACCTCCTTCTCCTCTTGCTGCTGTTGCTGCTGCTGCTGCTGCTTCTGGTCACATTTGCTAGAGACGACAAGAGTGCAGCCTCTTAAAGCCATTATTTCTGCTGCTCTTTGCGGGCTGTGCGGCAGCAAGAAGACTGGGGGCCTTCCTGCTGGCTCGTGAGACGCAGGGGGTGGCGGCTGCTGCTTCAGCTGCTGCAGTAGCGTCTGATCTGCTGCAGTTGGCGGCCCCCGCTGCCTGCGCAGCTTCTGCTGCAGTTGCTGCAGCTGCTCCTGCTGCTTCTGCACAGCGGCAACCCACTGCTGCTGCCGCTGCTGCTGCTGCTGCTGAAAAGAAGCCACAGAGCCAACGAACTTGGGATCCAGACAGCCACGCCGCAGCAGCAACACTCCGTTGCAGACCTGCTGCAGCAGCTGGCGGTCGTGAGAAGCAATTATCATGGGAAGCGGCAGCTGCTGCAACAGCTGCTGCAACGCAGAAGCAGCAGCAGCGTCTAAGTGGTTCGTCGGCTCATCCAGCAGCAGCAAAAAAGGCCTCCCACATAGCGCCTTCGCAAGCAGCAAACGCATTCGCTCCCCGCCGCTGAGGGTCCCGAGTTGCTGCTGCTGCTGCTGCTGCTCTGCGAAGCCTACATGGTGCAGCACCGTAGCTACCCAGCGCTCATCATCTTCCTGCTGCTGCTGCTGCTGCTGCAGTTGAGACAGCTGTGACGCTGCAGCCAGCATAGCACGGTCCGGTGCCTCCGAGTTGCTGTTGCTGCTGCTGCTGTTGCTGTTCAGAGTGAGTTCCTGAAGCAGCCTTTTTTGCTGCTCTATCTGCTGCTGCAGCTGCTGCTGCTGCTGCCGCAGGTGGCTGTACACTTCCTCTCTGACGGTATTTGCTGCAGCAGCAGGATTGAAGCCTTCGAGGCCCTCTTGCTGCAGCAATGCCACGCGAGAAGGGGAGCATTTGAAGCGAATGAGCCCTGAGACGACACCTGTTTCCATTTCAAACGGACTCTGCTGCTGCTGCTGCTCCTGTGTCTGCTCTTGAAGCTGCTGCTGCGGCGGGGGGGGGGGG